TTTTGAGTTGGTGGGGGGGGGGAGGAAAGAGGGTAGCCACGCCCCGAACAATTTGTGGATGTTTTCAAGATCTCTTGGGAGATAGGTATCTCTCGATTTTCATTCAAAAAACCGTGTAATTACCACGCCTCCTGTTTCTCAGAATTTGGAGATGACAGGCCTAAAAAATGTTGCAAGACCACTTCAATTAAAAGGCGCATTTGACATTGAAATATTTTGCAAGTTATTCCATTATCTGCCAAAAACAATTTTGCACAACTCTTCAAATCTTGTGATACACTTAAAACAGTTTTGCCAATTATTTTCCTCTCTTTCTTATGAATTCATAACCGTTGTAGACCATCTTAGAAGGGGTCGCCCCTCCCCTCTTTCTTTCTCCTCCACTCCGCCACTGATGAAAAGTTTATCTAAAGCGGGGAGGCTTGTAATGTTTTTTGCTAGTTCTGAAAAAAGAGTTTCTTCATTTCTTTTATTACTACCAGCTTATCAAGTTTCAATCGCCATAAACGCAAATAAAATGGACATATTCAATTCAAAGCCTTGTGCTTCAACGCAGTTCCTTTCCTGAATGCTTTCCTAGCTTTTCAGCAGCTTGATGATGAGGGCACAGGTGCACCGCTACCTTGAAGACTATTAATCAAAATATGGTCAAGTAACAGTTTAATTACGCCAGCATTGGAGAATCAAAGTGAGAAATGATGTAAATGATATGATAAGATATGCCATGGTTGAGAAACAAGTTAGCTATATATAGTCATGACAGTAGTATACTGTCTCAATCTTTGGCCTGCTCTCTCAGATGAAGGCTCCTCTGCATCCGCTCTGGTGCATAACAAGAAGAAAAAAGAGGAAGAAAATAGGAGGAATAGAAGAGAATACCGCACAGAAGACAAGCAGCGAAGATGCGTTTGATATCTCTCAGTCACTAGCACATGCCCTCTCAAAGTCCTGGGGAAATGCTGACAGGTCAAACTATTGCGGAAATGCTACGGATTTGCAGCATTTCCGCAGCTTTTCTATGGAAAGTGCTAGTCCCGCTTTTCGGTCGCTGTGACTTCAATTCTCTGCGGAAACCCAGCACTTTGAAGCGTGCACTTTCTCAATGGTTAAGAAAATGCTTCAGCGCCGCTGCAAATTTCGATTGTCCTGCGGAATTTCCGGAGAATTGTCTGAGTCCTTCAACTTTGTTCTATTCTCTGTCTAGAACAAAGTTATAGAATTGTATGACAAGGTGTCTAAATAATGTTTGATCGCTAAAACTCTCTTATATAAACAGCTTTCGCTTAATTTAGGTACATGTACTGCAACTTCGTTTTAGATGTATGATAACTAGATGGTCACCGATCTCTCTTCGTTAATGTAAATTTGCGACAAATGTGAAAGAGCTCATTGTAAAGGCACATCATCCCAAGATATGTCCGAAAGGGCTGGAAACTTTGGTACTAGATTAATTAGCTTTGCTGACACATAACCTTGTCGCTTCAATATATTCTCTAGTTTAAAAGTTGAAGGCGATTCTAATACTTATCGGAAATCTGATTATACCATTTGAACCACTACAAATTTGTAGGTTACTAAAATCAGCGCATTTAGCGCTTCGGAATTTTTCTTGAACTGATAGCTGAATTAATTACATTGTGCTGGAAGTCTCTCCCGTAATACTGCAGTAACGAAGTGTTGATGTAATTTTGTATTGTGAAGCTGAACTGAAGTCAGCCCCTACAATAAGCTTTCGTCGATTCGTTGACCGCAAGGACTGCTCAAACGCTGCGGACCACGTGCGGCGCGACTGATTTACCGCGAGAGCACGTCTCGCACAATGGCGAACTGTACTGGGGCAAGCGTTCACACCTCGCAGTCGTGCTCCGCAGTGATGCCCACTCCGTGCGGTCAACAAATCAACTATAGCTAAAATCTTGTGGTCGGACTCTTGGTAGCACATTGACCATCACTTGCCGATGATGTGAAGCCAAATTCCTAGCTAGGTCGGGAAAAATTGATAGTTTGTTTAGAATAAAAGAAAACTGTTTCTTTTACCTTCAAAATAAAAATAATCATGCTTAAAGATGGCGCTTTTATACACTAACAAAAGCTAAGTTGCCGCATTTCTGCACAAAGGTAGTTTGGTATGCTGGTTTTGAAATTATGCACGCGTATAGTATGGCCTTCTTCGTGAGTTCATGGTAGGTGTAAGTTGTGGAGGGGCAAGAACTTCGAAGTGGATCAAATTTCAAGGAAATGAAAAAATTCACTAGAAAAAAGAAGAGAATGCTTTTGAACAACACAAATATTTAAGTGACTTTTCAATATACCATGTGAGAATTGACTCAATTACATGCATTGACTATGAACCGGAGAAGGGTCATAATTGCTGAAACTTTTTTTTATAAAAGTTTTTCATGTCAGGATCTCGCTATTCACATATGAAGGGCGATATTGCATGTGCGGAGCCAAAACAAAGAAATTCAAAACAACTTCGTGTCTCGAGTACTTTCTTAATCTCGAGTATTTTTTGAATAGTTTCTTCAATGTCGGAAACAACTCTCCCTTAACATTTCAGGTCTGCGGTGTTCCGAATTGATAAGCGGAAAATTGCATCAAAAATCGCATGAATTTCTGCAAATCTTCTAATCGTGTGTACCATGAATTAAAATTGCCAAAATTCAGAATTTAGATTAAAATTGCCGAAATTCAAAGAGTATGTTCCATATTCTGTCACTACTTGCGTCCAATTTCTCCAGCGTTAGAACCGATGTCCCTGCGCCATACCCACCATAGAAGCCAATATGCAAATGGACATGGTTATCGCGGTCATCAAGGAATACGTCGATTTTTAAATTTCCACCTTTTTAACAAAATTCAAACGCGAGGTTTTGAACCCAAATTTTCTCGTTCGACATGTGACACCCAGATTTTGTTGTTCAAAATAATTTATCCGATTGAAAAATACCTACTAGGCCTGAAAGCTGCAAAAATTCAAGGATCATATACTTTGTCCTTTTATTTGAAGGTAGTTGTGGAAGGAGTCATTTTACATATTTTCTACCTCAAGTTCTATTCTAGGTTATGCAAACTTTTCCTTCTAAAGACTTCACTTCAAAGTTCAACAGACCGGCCTCGGGTATACAGACAAGTAACCTGCTTTTAGTATAGGCATAGTTGACTGCACAGACTCGACCGCTGAACGCCCGCGAGCGTGTATTTTGCGGGCTAATATTGATGCGTATGCAGGCACGCTCGCGTGCGTTTAGCCTACGGCGACCCGGGAGATTTCGTACAGTCGACTTTACATAATGCTTTCGAGAGGATCAAGATATTCTCGAAAGGTTGAACTGTAGAAATTACGCACCAATTCCACTAGGTATGAATCAACTCAATCGAAAGTGCAAAACTTATTTCTGTGGTCTCGAAAAACTCGAATAGTCGGTGAATTAAGACGGCCTAGCTCGGTTTGGAACAGTTCCAGTTACTTTGTAAAATTGTGTCAGTGCTTTCCTTGCTTTCACCCCATAAGTGGTATTTATAACAAAGTATTCTCCTGCAGTGAAGAAGGAAGAATTCATTTCCACTCTTCACTGTCATATTCGTTCAAGCGAAATGACTTTTTTATTAGGTGATCCAAAAGTAATGGGGCAGCTAGAGAATAAATGCAGTTTTCTCAAATAGAAAAGCGAATCGGAAGTCCAAGTTTTGGCAGATGTTAGTACATAACAAAACCTTCTGATCGAGGTCTATAGTTGGGCACTGTCACATGGCGTTATTTTTATAAGCGCTCAAAATCAAAGCTCACCACTTCAAGTAATTTTGAACGTTGACCAGCAGCGCCGCAGGAAAACAAGTGAGCTTACCAAAGATATGTGCGCAGCAATGGGTGAGGGGACTGTCACCAAATCCACAATAGCTCGGTGGTCCCAAGGCTTTAGAACAGAAGATATAGCATTGGGTATCAGGAGAACATATTACTTATTCTTTCATCAAGGTAATCAAATAAGCCCAAACTTAGCAGTTGCTTTCTGATAGTGCTTTTTACGCTCTGTCCATATACATATGCAGATTACCTCGACTTTTCTCATTTTCGAAAGATTGCGGTCCAAAATATGAATTTTTGTCTGAAAATCTGCGCCAAAATCGGAGTTTTTCGAATAAAGTGCCTTTTTTGTATAAAATAATGGGCAATTTTTGGATATGCAAGTAATCATTAGAAAGAGCTTGAAAAGCTCTTTCGAATGGTATGCCATATGTCGAGGGACTATCAGGTGCAGCAGCCCAAATTCGGTTGGCGTTCAAAAACGTCTGTCTGACTTCTTTGAAGCGCCACTCGAAGAAATGTCGGTGAGGTGCTGCAAGATGCTGACAAGATAACCTGCGAAGATCACTTTATACAAAGGCCTTAAAAATGCTGGGCGTTCATAGCTAATTAGAAAGAAATCTTGAAGAATGTTAAAAAAAATCAAGGTGCCCCATTACTTTTGGATCACCCTAAGTTAGAAAGCTTTTTAGGAGAAATTCAAGAAAGAGGTACATGTACAGGAGATCCTCAAGGTCCTGGCATAAGTAGCTTATTTATGGTGTACGCCTCGCGCTACTACTACTACAGTCTGCTCCAATCGGGATCAGGCCGAACCGTTGGCGTAAATTTGCGCGCTCGCAGCGCTAGCGGTCTGCGCTGCATGTGCGCGCTGTCGGAGAGAGCAAAAAGATTGAAGAGCGAGCAGAGAAGCAGACCGTGGGCGTGACCGCAAAACCCTAGCGACGCGGTCTCCCGCCATGCCAATTTTGGCCTGGTTGGGATTGGGGCAGACTGTACTATCTGCACGGCCTACTGGGACAGACTATTTGTGCTAGGTGTCCACGCACTCAGAGACTGTGATAGTTTCCAGTTCTGCATATTTACCCATGAATAAAGAATCTTCCATCGCTTTCCTAAACGTTTTACTGAATCCGTCTCTCGTAGTTCACATATACGACTTTGTACCACTACCGACGCATACTTTTTCTTTAGATGGATTGAGGCATGCTGAATGTATTGCTGTGGATGGCAGTCCTGAATAACGCGGTTAGGTTCGTAACTTCCACATCGTGCCACCCAAACAGATATTGTATCAACTTTCACCATTTGCAGTTTATCTGCTGTCTACCGCAACGTTCCTGCTCGACGGCGTTCCATTTATCACCCAAGCACTGTCTCAGGACCATGTACCTTTCCAGTCCCGTATACAAAGGAATTCGATATTTTCTGTCAACTCGATTACCACAAGGTTACTATATAGAAGTTTTTCGAAATTTTCGTTAATCAAACGTATCACTCCGAAAATGAGCAAAGCTAGGTGAAAAACTTTAATATATTATGTACAGCTTCGAATTATGCGTTTGAAGTTGACTAAAAACTGTATTTTTTTAACTTATTGAAATTTTTAAATTAGTCAGCTTTTGGAAAGTGAAAATTTTCTTCACTTCGCCACCAAAAGCCAAAGGTTTGCGCACGTTTGTAGCTCACTGCCTATTCTACATTATATCAAAAAAAAAACGAGCGCCACATCTAAGAGGAAACTTACAATTAGTTGCACTTATATGCCAACCTAATAATTGCTGATTTTGTAATTGTTCATCTACTACAACTCATTACAAGTTGTAGCAAAGCCAAAAGAATCTTTGGATGGAGCTACAATGAACTGCGAGGATGCGTCTCCCCATATTGCTTTTCAGACGGCTTACATCTGCGATCCGGCAGGAATCCTATCCCGTACAGAAGTTGAGATGTTGGACCACACGGTCCGCGAACTGAATATGACCTCGTGCTTTTGCTCGTCCTCTTGTGGAAGGGGACGAAAAAAGCTTGGGATCGTGATCGTACCAGCTGCTAGTATAAACAGGTGCGATTTGCTCTCGGTTACTCCAGCTTCTTACCCATGTCCCTAGTTTAATCATTCGGCAGACTAATTGACCAGCGCCTTTATAGTATAATCGCCTGTGATTCGTCGTTGGACTACGCACCTCCAACCTCGTTACCGGCAGCGGCTTTTCTGTTCGCTCAGTTACTGAACAGACACTGGTCCGGGCACTGTATGGCGGATTTGATGATCATTTACATCAGGGCGTGGAATCCAGATCGCGTTCGGAAACCATTTATCATACCCATTTACTCGTGAGTTTCATCTTCAAAGGTAGGAAAATAAGTTGGACCAATCCTTTCTTCACTATTTGCATTGCTTTTTCAATTTTCTACATGACTTTTGACATTATATTTCGTTGCTGCCATATTCTGATAGTGTAATCATTTGCCCCGTTACTGATTTCCTTCTTGGCAAGAAAAGCGACAAACAACCTATTTTCGCCTTTGTTATTCATGTGTCATAGCAATATGATTTGCAGGCATGCTCTCGAGCGGCTACAACGATATAGCCACCCGACCTCAGTGCCGGCAAGGGAACCAGTATTGCTTGCATTACAGAATTCAATACGGCATGCTCATCGACTCATCGAAGCCGAGTGGACTGATGTAATAAGATTGCGAAAAAGAAGTGGAACTCATATAAGATAGGCTAATGTATTTCACATGATGCCAGTTCCAGACCAATACATCCATTCCCCAATGGGCGATGGGTCTGGCTTGCGGAATGCTGATTGTCGTGGTCTTATCCGTTTATACTGCGAATTGCATCACGAACAAGTTGGGAAGGCATCCTCAGGTGAGAAAAAAGCGAGCATAATCAAGATGTAAGCCCTTCAGTTCTCCGGAACTCAAACTCATCAAGGCAAAAGCCTAGAGCAAAAAACTAAAAAAAACAAACAAAAAGCAAGCAAGCAACCAACTTTACTAATGCGAAGTTCATTTGCAAGCGAAAGAATTAGAAAACACTGGACTCTCTTATACCATCTTCCTTTAGTAGACGAATTACGAAGTATCCTTTGTTTCGCATTTCCCAAACGCATGCTGATTAATTCTCGTAACCTATGGAAAATTACATAAGTCCACTTTCTGCTGGTTAGAGAGCGAAAGGCATTTTGAAAGATGTCCGTACGAATCGATGATTATGCGGAGATGAAGAGAGATGAACACATATTAGGGCAACTCCTCCGAATTTCGCACCAAAGTTTCGATAATGCACGATATCCCGAAAATGGCCTAGGTCAAGTGCGCATAGCAGTTGATTATAGACTCATATCCTTTACAGGGGTAGCAAGCAGAAAAACTTAATTTAAGAGCATCAAAAATCACTTCTCTTAACTCATCATTTCTGATTTTGCAAGAACTCTAGGGAAAACTGAGTGATGGTCGTTTGCATTACCAAGGCAACTGCTAGCTTATGATATTCTTCACTAGGCAAAAACATTAGTCCTGTTTAGAAACAACGCTATGCGGTGTCAGCGTTCCGAAAAAGTAGCGACCGGTTCCGGGCCGGCTTTGGTGGAGGTATGATGATGAATGCATCAGTTCAACAAAAGCGAAGTGTGATGATGTTTCGAACATTTTCAAAAACTCCCGCACGGAATGGTACCACCAACAGACTTTGAGAGCCATAGACGACGTGAAATTCTCAGTATCATAGTAAATAGTAGCATATACTGCGCTCCATTGTTTTCAATTATTCATGAGTACACTAACAATAATATCATGTCGTTCTCGTTCATGTAGACATTTAGTGATATTTGGTGCACTCTCCTCACTACATGGGTGATACTCCCTCTCAGAAGTAACGTTTGTGTGTAATATGGAAATGGTAGTATTCTTGAGATTCGCTTTACTGCTTCTAGGGTTGTCGTTTGTACGAAGTTGTGTTAGTTCGGTTCATACTAGGTCTCTCATGCTGTTTGCTCAACGAACAAGATGTTCGATATGCCACGCTGTAACATGCGCTATCTGTATGGATGTACTGCATTCGATGAACAATAAAACTTATTGTACTTTATTTATTTCAAAGACTAAAAATTACAGAGTCAGATACTAGCATATTCTGCAGATTCTGCGTCTCAAGTGCATAATCGTTCGATTTTTCTATCTTGCGTTTCACAAAGCAGTGAGTACTGATGTAAAAAGTGAAATTTAAGTGAGGAACTCAAAATTTGCTTGAAGTGCCTATAGCCAGTTGCTTTTGATCGTCAACAGAAAAAAACATAGCAACCGAAGTCTAGGGTGCTGTGTGACTTTCCCAATACAAGAGACTCTTCAACTGAAAGAGGAGAGAAGGAGAAGAAGAGTTTATAAAATCAAGCTTTCTACATATATCTAGCTTCAAAAATAAGCATGACTTCCTGTCAAAAAATCAGGTCTATTTGCCTTCGATAAGACTTTGAATTATATACAATAATGAGAAGTAAATTTTTTAATATAATGTGTGAATAACCAAAACTCCGTTTCGTTCCTGCCCTTAGACGGAGTAAAAGTATTTACAGACCTTCCCCGGAACTCCTCAGTAAGGAAGGAAGGTCTGCAAAACTTATTTTCAATAATAAGAAGTAAATTTATTAAGTAGTGTAAAGTATGTACATGAATTTTCTAAAAAATAAGTTCTTTAAAAAAATTGTTAAGTTATTGTATCAAAACTGTGATAGTAATAGAATTACTTACCTCTAAAAGAATATACTTCAATATAGAATATGTATCTTATAATATAAGAGCTCTACTACATATATATATATACTAGCTGGCTTACCCGGCTCCGCCGTATGTTCCGAATAGAAAATTCCATTTCTTAACCAATCCGGACCAAACTTGGCACACATACACTTCGGGCCCCGGCGGGTGCCACAATCCATTTTTCGTTATCGATCGATGTCGATTTTATCGATTTTTTGCAAAATTTGAGCTAGGGGGCTGGAATTTGGCAAGGGGGTGTAATCGAGCATGCTGATCACCCCCACGGGGGTGATCAGCATGCTCGATTACCCCCCTGTGCCAACTCCCAGCCCTGTAGCTCAAACTTTGCAAAAAATCGATAAAATCGACAAAAGTGATGCACGATTATAAAAACTATTATTGTATTCGGAATCCCTTACCCCCTGTGCCAACTCCCAGCCCCGTAGCTCAAATTTTGCAAAAAATCGATGAAATCGATATTGATCGATACGAAAAGTAGCCTATGACACCCGCCGGGGCCCGAAGTGTATGTGTGCCAAGTTTGGTCCCGATCGGTTCAGAAATGGAACTTTCTAGTCGGAACATACGTACACACAGACAGACATTCAGACAGACAGACAAACAGACATTCAGCTTTATATATAAGATATCGATAAAATCGATATCGATCGATACGAAAAGTAGCCTATGACACCCGCCGGGGCCCGAAGTGTATGTGTGCCAAGTTTGGTCCCGATCGGTTCAGAAATGGAATTTTCTATTCGGAACATACGTACACACAGACAGACATACAGACAGACAGACAAACAGACATTCAGCTTTATATATAAGATATGAGCTCCACTATATATAACCACATAACTTTTAATAATATTCAAAATGAAGTATACCATGTTTAGTGTGTTTATGAATGAAATGATAATGGATTGTATTGAACATAAATCATTCCTAGTGTATAGTTTGAGATACATAGTACAGTTTGTTCTATTCGTAAAGATACAAATAATTTGAGCTTCCCAGAGCCATATGAAAATACCAAAAGAGTCTCTTTTAGTTTGCATATCGTAGCAACACATGGTATCTATCAGATTCGATCAAATCGAGATTCTGTTTACGCCATCCGTGAACGAAGTCCATTACTTTCAAAGAAAGTCCATTCAAAAAGATTAGACCATCGAAACTTTATTGCTCTAAATAATCTTTGCTTTTGCTTGCACAATGCAGAGATTTGTTTTGAAAACGGGTAATAGCAGCCTCGCGAATGGAATGCAAAAAAGTGTTCATTATAAGTGTTTTGCCATGATTAAGATCACTAAATTCGAACGTTCAAACTTTTCCAAAACAGACAGAAAATTCCTTAACAGGAGAACAAATAAAATTTCAATTTGGTTCTCGATTCACTGGAAATCTTGAAATCAAAGACTTATGCATCAACTTCTTGTTGCTTTCTTGGCGCAGTTATAATGTGGAAAAGATAATGTTTCACAAGTCAGTGAGGGCTTGCCGCCAGTCATAGAAACTTATGACTTCGCAGAGAGTCTGCATGATGAGCAGATGAATCTTGAGGTTTTGGTGTTCCTCCATGGTACTGCCACTTCCTCGAAGATAGACTACCAACATCTTCAAAAAATTGCTGCCTTAGCTTTCCTACTCAGTTTCTCAGCTACCTTTATACAGTATTTGAACGGTCTGAAGATCTTCTTCAAATTTTCCATGAACACTGAAAGTCTTGAGAAGCTCCTAAAAAATCCTAAGCTTGCAGGACTCATAAATGTTTACCCCCAGCTTACTGTACTTGCACAAAAGAGCAACAGGCAGGCAGCTGCAGTGCGACAATAATTGACCCCATGTGACCTTGCAATTAACCCATGCATCCCTTCCAGCTGCACATGCGCGGCCATGTACCATGACTATTTAATTCAATAGGATATTATCGATTCGTCGACAGCACGGACTGACTTCCAGCAGCGACGCTGCGCGAGAAGCGTATAGCCTTACAGCCTATGTCAATAAAACACTCCGTTTTGCGTAGCAGTTACGAGACCAAGACATGATTTTGTAGCACGACATAGTACATTAGTGCGAAATAGCGCGAATAGTTGCGAAGCGTACGCTCCAACAATCCCGCCATTCCCACTTATCTCCGCCAGGCTAGGCCAGATTCCTAGCCGTCTGGCTTTCCGGTCGCTAAGCGGTTCTCAACGCTTCACACCCGAGTCTCCCGTGGAAATCAAAAGTAGGCGCAGTAAGTCTGCTCTTTTAGGGGAAGAATTTTTATCATTCCGCCATCTAGAAGAATAGAAAGAAACCATGCATATCGAATCCCGTCTACGGCGCAGGGTGGTACAGTCAAGTAGATTTTCCGCTTAATATAGTGTGCTTGCACTGAAGGTGAAATGCGGTAAAATTTGCGCGTGAACAAGTAGCCACGCCAGTAATACAACCTTTTGCGCCCGCAAATGGCCGGCGTCACAAGCGTAGCTATTTCTTTACGCGCAAATTCTACCGCATTTCACCTTCAGTGCAAGCACACTATATCGAGCGGAAAATCCACTCGACTGTAGAAGAACAATGTCAGGGTCCTTAAGACACCTTTTGGATCGGACAGAAACGACACGTCTGCCCGGACGAATGCTATGAAGACTGCCTCATGCTTTGCACCTCCAACGCCAGGACAGTCTCCTCAAACGCCGACCTCCACCTCTTCTCGACGCTGCAGAGCACATCAAGTACCACATCATCGCTCTGCGAAAGAAAGGAAACGAAGTTCAGGAAGAAGGACGTGCGACAGATGGTAATGGGTCATTTGTGGGAAGAAGATTCCATCACGAAACGTTGGAGGCGTTGGCTTTGTCGTCCACCCATCTATCGTCCATCTTGTCGACTCGCATGAGATCCTATTACCTCGACTAGCCATCCAACGACGACCTCCATGCATAAGCATCACCAACTGCTACTCTCTAACGTCAGCAGCTGACAAATCAAAACTATAGATGCTTTCTACGACAACGTGGAGGAGGTCGTCTACAACAAGAAGTCCTTCTACAAGCTTGTTCTGCGACTTCAACGCGAAAATCGGAATGCCCTGGAAAAAGAATATAAGGTCGGGAAGTTTGGAGTGCTCCGGAACGAGAACGGTAACCGCCTCGTTGGGCTTCTCTCCTCCGCACGATTTTTCCATGGAAATTCTATCTTCTTGAAGAAAAAACATCGCCGGTGGACATGGGAATCGCCCAATGAAACAATCCAAGCGGAGATCGAACACATTCTCACCAACCAAAGGTGGAGCTTGCTTGATGCCCCCTTTGAGAGAAGGTACGATTCAGTCGAAAGCTGGAAAAGAAGGTCTGCCACATACCGCAAGGAGGAAGAATGTCGTTTATGACGGTAATAGGCTGGAAGAGCTCATATCAAGTTGTGACTCGCCCATCTAGGAGGACCCAAAGTACGACTGCGACCGGCTTCTGAAAGGGTTGCGAGCCTGCGAAAAGGGGCGCCTATTCTATCTGGCTGCACCATTGAACGAAGACGGGAACCCGATCTTTCCGATGTAAAATGGAATCTATCGCGAAGAACTTCTATACCAACTTCTTCCGCTCATCAACACCCGTGCAGATGCTCGTTGTTCCCACTGGAGAAGTACCACCACGAATTCTATCTGCTGAAGTGCGCAGAGCCATTCAGACCACGAAGACGTCCACGGTTCCAGGACCAGACCATTTTTCCGTCGGATTTCTGCGAGCCGGAGAAAAACGTCTGCACGAGATTCTCGCGTCGCCCTGACATCTTACCTTCAATAGTAAAAAATTCCCGACTGGAGAACGTCAACCGTCAAGGGTGAACGAGAGGATCTTCGGAACTACCGTCCAATATGCCTGCTGAGTGCGCTGTACAAGCTTTTCACGAAGAATTATCCTCGTTCGCATATCTAGGACACTGGATGAAGCCCAACCCCAAGAACAGGCTGGATTTCGTAAAGGATTCGGCTGCATGGACCACATACAGCCGATTTGTCATGGAAGTCTGCCGGAAGCACCAACTGCCTCTCGTCCTAACCTTCGTCGATTACGAGAAAGCCTTCAACAGCGTCGAAACCAACGCCATCCTGTCAGCGCTAGTCGATCAAGGAGTGGACCCAGCTTACGTGAGGACGTTTGTCGACTGTTACAAGGACTGTACAACGACAATGCAACTGTTCCATCGCCCCCGACCATCTCAATTGGAAAGGGGGACCGACAAGGCGACACATCCCGCAAAAGCTATTCACCGTGGCCTTGCCGTGGTTGATGAAGTCACTGGACTGGAACGAGAAAGGCCTACGAGTTG